GGGAGGATAAAGGCGCAGCACGTGCGCCAGCCGCCACAGGACCAACAGACCGAGAGGGCGGGGCGGCCTGTACTCTGGCCCCCCGGGCTTCACGCAGGGAGCCCAAATATCGGGAACAAAAGCAGGAAAAGAAAAGTGAGAGCAGGAGGGAGGGAGGGAGCAAGGGAGGGAGCGAGGAAGCAGAAATTAGGGGGTCTTAGATGAAAAAAAAAGTAGCTTTAGGGGGAATGTGCCGTGGAGTGTGAAATTGCAGCCCATGGTGCTCCATATTGTACCAGAAGCTCTTCCAAAAAAAAAAAAAAAAAACAACCATCCTCCAACGTGACCAGAGGGCTAGGAAGGGGGAGGGGTGGGGAGAGGATGGGGAGGAGGAGAGAAAAGGGCCGGGCAGGAGCTGGTCAGGCCGAGCAGGGGAGGGGGTCGGGTGATGCGTGCGCCCACTGCCTGGAATCTGATCTCCCAGTGTGCGCCCCGGGGTGCGCCGGGAACCTTGGGGCGAGTGGGCCGCGGGGCCGCCTGGGACTTCGGTTGTTAGGCGAACTTTTTTTCTTTCTTTTTTTGTTTTTTTGTGAAGGTGATGACTTCCAAAACTGGGAATAATTCAGAAAAGGAGCTCAGCTGCGGAGCTGCTGCTCTGCACCACCCTTTTATCTTCCCTCCTCCTCTCTGCCTCTCTTCCCTTCGGACTAGTTTTCCCCCCATCGGTTCTAAACAGCTTCTTTCCCCCCTGAACTTTAATGCATTTAATTTGGTCCTCGCTGTGGGAAGCATTTCCTAGGGAGATACATTTAATTTCGGAATTTCTAATCCCCTCCCTGAGAGGCCGGGCCCTGGCTCCCCTCACTACTCCCCAGGAGGCCTCAGGAGTGGAAGGAGGAAGGCAGGGCCGGCCAGCAGGCTGGGGCACGGCTGGGGGGCTCCCCGCACTCCCAGCCCCCCATACCAAGCCACCTTCCCAAACTTCTGGAGGTGGGGTGCCTGGGCCACACCGTTCAGGGCCCATCCTGTGGAGGGGAGGCAGCCACACCTCTCCTTTTCCTCGCCCAGTGGAAAGCCCTGGGTCAGGGACTGGGAAACTGGAAAAATGAGCAGAAGGATCGCCAAAGAATCGGTGCAATTGGGGGCAACAGACAGGGTTTCCATAAACCCATCCCTTCATGCACAATCTGCCCAGAAACCAATTTGGGAGTTGGGGTGCTAGTTGGGCGGTTGGTTTGGCTGGGGGAGGGGGTGTCTGTGCGTTTGCACATAGTAGGGCGGAGAAAGGATCTCAAGGGGGACTACTGTCTCCTGACCCTAGCAGAGCAGGCACCAGGCAACTGGAGACTCAGGCAGCTTTGCTGGAGGAAGGCAGCAAGGGTGGGGGCTCTGGGCACCAGGCAAGCCTGCCAGGGAAGGGAGTGGAGAAGGCAGAGGAATGGAGATCCACAAGGAAGATTTATTGGGCAGATCAGATGCACAGAGGCGGCTAATGAAGCAAATCCCGAGATGGGTATCAGAGCAACTCCCCAAAAGTTTATTTGCCTTTAAATTTCCGCAGGGAGGCGGGCGCCTTGTTTGAAGTGTAAATGCCCCTGGGTTGGGGGGTGGATGGGCCGCTTTGAAAACACCAGAGAGAAAAGGTTCATTTAGAGGCGGACGGAAAAGCAACCAACCCTGACAGGTCCGAGCCCCGGTTGTGTTTGGGGTTGGGTTGTTTTCTTTCTTTCCCTTTCCTTTTCTCTTTCCTCTTCTTTCTTCTTCCCTTTCTTGTTTTTTTTCTTCTTCTTCTTCTCTACTAGGCTCTATAGAAGAAGAAAGGGAAAGACAGGAAAGGGAGCATCAGCGGGAGAGGCCAGCCCTTCAGCCTGGAGCCCCAGGAGAAGGCAGGGCTTTGGCTAAAATCACTAGGGAGCAGGGCTCTTTGACTTTCTAGAGCCTGGAAGGGCTGGAGCTAAGGAGGAAGCTGCCAGGGCCTGGCCTGGGGGAGGCTGACCAACTCGTGTAGTGCTGGATGGAGAAGTGGTCCCAGAAGGGGCTGAGGTGAGGTGGGTGGAACTCTGGAATCTCAGGGGGTACCTGGGAATTGGACTGTCATGGAAAGGTCTTCCTTCACTTCTTAGGGGGTACGTGTGTGTGAGAACTACGTCCAGCATACTTTGTGCATTAAGTCCCCTTCTTTACAAAAGGTGGAAGTGCCTCTTGCAAATGCCTGTTGTCTGCACCCACACGTCAACATACATGTAACGGTAGGGATGTGTCCAGCTGGTTCTAGAAAAACCTGAATCTATGTGTGGTTCTGCCCACAGTCTTGTTCCTCCAGTAGTTCAGCTTCTCAAAGACAACTTCCTGGACCAACACAGGGAGATGGGAGAGAAGGGCTCCCTGAGTTCTGAGTTCTGAGCTCCTTTCAATAAGGACCTTTCCTCGATGCCCCCAAACCCCAGTTCTGGGTTAATGACCTCCCCGAGAAAGCCCGTGCCTGGACCAACTAACACCACCTAAGAGCCTGGACTCCCAGGCCTTTCCCTTTAGACGGAAAGAACTGTGGTTTTCCTTTTTCACTACCCACACGAAGTTAGTGCGTGTTCGTGGGGTTTTGAGGCCAAAGCAAACCCGAGAGCGCCATCTGCAGGTCTCCAGAGGAAGAGACTGACCTTCAGGGCTGGACCCTGCGTCTTCAACCTCCCGCCCTAGGTAATCCGCTTGGCCACCCGAGGGAAGTGGGGTTGGGGGCTGCGAGGGAGGAGGCAGGTGGAGACTGGTTTTTCCTCTCAGAAGTTACTTAGCAGGTGGATTTAGGGGATCGGGCTCAGGAGGATCTAGGAAGTAGGATAAATGCTAGGATCCCAGCAGACCCGGTCCCCTAATGAGTGGAGGCTCAGAAACATGTCAGGCTGCGCCTGGCCCTAGCCCCGTGAGAGGATTAAGGGCGCCCCCCCAAAAACCTGGGTGCAAGAGGCCCAGTAGGCGTTTCCTCCTGGCGGAGACGGGTGAGTGTAGCCCCTACGTTACCGGCCGCCTGGACTCCGCCTGCCAGCGGGACAGCCGGTTCTGCAGGCAGGGGCCAGAGGAGCCCCGAGTCCGGGAGGCTGGAGCGCAGCGCGGGCTTCCCGGAGCCGCCCTTTCACAGACCCAGGGAAGCGGGGGGAGGGAGTGAAGGAGGGAGAGAGAGTTAAAACATCAGCTGAAGTGCCAAGATGATTTATGAGACGAGGGAAAATATTTCATAAAGATCTCCTGGATATTCTGTACTTAACCAGTTAGGAGACAAAGGGCTTCTCCTGCCTGGTGCCTGCAAGCGAGCGGACCCGAGCGAGCGAGGGAGCGAGTGCGGACGAGGGCTGCGGTGGCTGGGCCGGCGGCTCCGGCAGGAGCGGCCCGGCCGAGCGCGATGCGCCCCCAGTGCCGGCGCCGGGTCCGCGGATCTGGCAGCGGGCGGCGCTCAACCCTGTGCGCAGCCTCTTCTCCCCAGCCGGGGAGAGCCAGCTTTGGTCGCCTGCGTTCTCTGCCGCCAGCGACCAGTAGCCCCGCACCGTCTCCCTCCCCAAGCCCTCCGTAGGGGTCACCCCAGGTTCCAGGAGCCCAGTCCCCGGCTCGCCCACTGTCCGGTGGGTCCCGCTGAAGCAGGCGGGTCCTTGTCTTAGGTGTCCACCTCGATTCTAAACCGAGCGCTCTGGGTGCCCAGACCCCGTGGGCAAGGTGATGAGGGAAGCCCTACGCGCAGCCGCGCGTGGGACGCGAGAGGACCAAGTGCCGGGCACTTTGCCCCGGAATGAGAATTGGGGGGTGCGTGGGTGGGGAGGTACCTCAGGAGGGAAAGGCGAAAGGGAAGGACCAGAGAGAGGAAGGAAGAACCAGGAAGGAACGGAAGGGAACTCAGAGCGGAGAGGAGGGGGGTGAAGGCTGGGGATGCGGACCCGGCTCCGGGCGGCGCGGCCCGCGCGGGCACTGGCTGGCGGATGGCAGGGCTGGGTGAGTTGGGACTTCCAGCCAGGCTTCCGAGCACTCCGTGGCTCTTGTCGATGCCTGAATATTCATTACACCGGCCGCCCTTTATCCTTATCTAACGTTTATCTTATCGGCGAGTTTCGTTTCTCAGCGTAGTTTTAATCCCGGGCTCCCCTTCCCCCTCCCCCTGGCCCGCTCCCCTCCCTCCATCTTCCTTCGCCCGCTGCTCCCTCCTTCCTCCCGTTTCCCCCTCTCCTGCCCTCCCCTTGCCGGCACCGGAGTGACAGGCGCGGGGCCCTCCTCGCCGAAGCTCGAGGCTCCGGCGCTGGCGAATCACAGAGTGGTGGAATCTATTGCCTTTGTCTGACAAGTCATCCATCTCCCAGCGCGGGGAGGGGGAGGGGGTCTGGAGGGGACTTTGCAGCTTTTAGAGAGAGACACACCGGGAGCCCAGGCTCCAGTCTCTGGCCGAGCCTTCTCGCAGCCGCAACCCACCTGGGGCCAGCCTGGTGCTGCCGGCGCCACTCGCCTCCTTCCCTCCCTCCCGGCCCTTCGGCCGCCTCGGCGAGCGCCGGCCTTTTCCCGGGGCGGGGGCCCGGCTCGCGCTCTCCCCGCCCGAAGGCGCCCGCTCGGACATCCCGAGGATTGCTACTTCTCTGCCAACTTCTCCAACTCACCGGCACTTGGAGCGGCCCGACTCCCCAGCCGGCGCCCTCGGGCCACCCCGGCTTCTCGCCCTCTCCGACTGCTGCCTCTCGGATGACCGGGTTCCAGGGGAGCTGAGCGAGCCGCCTCCCCCTCCCAGCTTCAGCCCTGGCCGCCGCGGCCGCGCGCGCCATGCGCCCCCAAATCCCCCCAGCCCGGCCCGCTGCCTCGGGGCCGTTCTGCTGACCCACCAGCCCCGAGTCCCGACGGTGGGAAGTTGCGGGCACTGCGGTTGCCAGTTCCAGCCGGCCAGGGAGGAGTCCCCGCGGGGAGATCAGCGCGGCGTCCCCCGCCCCCGTGCGCCCCGCCGCAGCTGGGCGCCCGCTCACCCCCACCCCCAACCATCCCTCCCTTTTCTCCTCAAGTCCTGAAGTTGAGTTTGAGAGGCGAAACGGCGGCGGCAGCCGCGCTCCTCCCGCTCCTCTGCCTCCCCATGGATATGCACTGCAAAGCAGACCCCTTCTCCGCGATGCACCGTGAGTACCGGCGCCCGGCTTCTGTCCCAGCTCAGCTCGGGGCTCCCCGTCCCAACCTGGCTCCATCCTGGCGCGGCCCTGGCCCCTGGTGCTCAGTCCCATCCTGGAGGCCACACTGGCTTCTCCCAGTCTCCCCTTTCGTTCTTCCTCTCTCACTTCCCAGTGTTTCTAACGCCTTCCGTTTCACTCCTGCTGCCTCCTGTCACCCATGCTTCTCTCTCTGCCTGCCTTCCTACCTTCCCTGGTGCCCGTCACCTACCTTCCTTCCTTCCTTCCTTCCTTCCTTCCTTCCTTCCTTCCTTCCTTCCTTCCTTCCACCTGCTCCTTGTTAAGTCATGGGTCTATACCCCATCCCCACCAGAAACCCCAATTCCCTAGCCACCCTCTTACCCTGGGCTGGGGGACTAATGAGCTAGCTGTTTTCAGGGTTTGTGCTGTGTTTTCTCTATCTTCTGTCTCTTCCTCCCTTCGCCTCCCTCGCCTCCCTCCCCTCATCTCTACCTTTCCCCAACTTGCAGTGTGGTTGTCCAGGATGAGACTTGGAGCATCAGCAGCCTCAGTGTCAGGACAATCAGGCAGAAGAGTATGGGGGTGGGGTGCCCCCTTCTGACCCTCAGCTCCCAGTATCTCCCGGCCGCCAGCCCAGCCAAGGCTTCTTATGGGCTGGTTTGAAATACTTCCTTTTCTTTCCTCTCTCCCTTCCCTCTCTTTCCCCTTCTCTGCTCCTCCAGTTGGGAGTCTGAGACTGGCAGGATGTGGGGTCTTCTTTCTCCACCCCACCCGGGAGATGCTCCAAAAACAAAGACAGGTTCCAAAGAGACATTGAAGTCCGCAGGAGCAGGAGTAGAGGAGCCTCCGGAAGGCACCTGGGCAGAGCCAGGCTCTGCTTCTAGTTCTGGAGGCTCCTTGCCCACCTCACACTCCCTGGTGAGGACGGTTTAGCCAGTGACCTGGCCAGGGTGTAGGCGAAGAGGGAGAAAATATGGGGGAAAGAACAAAAGGAAGGCAAATGCCAAAGCGGAGGAGAAGGGAGAGCGAAATAAAACATGGGCAAGCGAATACAAGAGAAAACAGAAAGGATGTGACCAAAAAAAAGAAAAAGAAAAGAAAAGAAAAAAAAGAGGTGAGGAGCAAAGAAACCAAAACAAAATAAGAAAAGGGAATGATTTTAATTAAATTTGAATTTAATTCATGTCATATGTCTTTAGCTTGGAAAACAATTCAGAGATTTTTTTCCAGGCTTTTAAAAAAGATAAATGGATCCTAAATAAAAACATCTCCTCTTTTGTAGATTAATAATTAAGGATGATTTGTAACTTCACAGGGAAACTTTTTAGAACTCGCTTGATATATGTTTTGGATGAGAGAGCCCGGAGGAAGAGCTGAGTTTTCCCCTAAGCATACATTTAGCATTACAGGGAGGTGGGAGAGCTTTAAGAAATACCCCTCGGATAAAATACATTTTCCTAAATAATATCCAAGCACAGGAAACCCGAGCCAGGAGCCCTGAGCTGCGGCGAGTCTCCGCGAGCCAAGCCAGAAACCCAGGCTCCCTTCCTGCGAGAGTGAACCCGGGTCTGAGCGCGGGCTTCGCCCAGCCCGCCCGCTTCTCGCCGCTGCCTCTGCCCCGGTTCTCCTCTCTGGCCGTTCCGAGGGGACCCGCCGAATCCCGGCTGCCCACGGGGGGCCACTTTGAAAGCTAAAGGGGAGCAAGGCGAGCTGAAGGTGATCGAAGGAAGGGAGAGACCGCGGCGCGGGCGGCGGACCGGCCCGCCAGCAGCCGCAGCCGGAGCCGGCGCCGGTGGCGGTGGCGCATTCCAGGCCCGACTCAGCGCCGGCTCGGACCCCCGGACCTGGACTCCCGCCGGGTCCCCTTCCATTCCCACCCCTTAGATTGGGGATGAGGGGCCGGGCCCAGAGCCCGGGAAGGCTGAATTATTCATCTTTAATCTGCCCGCAGCTGCCGCCTTTTCATACCGGTAACGCGAGTTCTCCCGGGGCCTAAATTATTGATGGTTCAGGTTTGGAGGGCGGGGAGGGGTGAGGAGTGGGGCTAGAGGTAGGGAGACCAGCGGGGCCGAGCGGGTAAAATAAGAGGTTCCGGCCTCCCCCAGCCTCCAGATCGGAGACCTCTCCCCGGGGGCATTGCCGCCGGCGCTCTGGATCCCCCCAGAAGGGGCCGGGAGAGAATGGAGCGGGACGCAGACGTCCCCGCTTTCTCCGAAAGTCGCCGGAGGCTAGTCTGGCAGGGGCAGCAGGTTGACCGCAGGGTCCGGCCCAGCCGGGCCGCTAGAAGTCTCTGGGCTTGGACTGATCAGTAACCGCGGCTGCGGCTGGATCGCTCTGGGCGCAGGATTGCTAGACTGCGTTAGGCCAGGGAGCACGGGGAGCCGGCGGTCAGCGCCCTCAGGCCTGGCACCCGGGAACCACCTGCGCTCCGAGGTCGGAAGCCCGAGCAGGACTTTGGTTGGAAAGTCAGCGCCCTCCTCCTGGCCAGGCGAGCGACAGCCCTGCTGCCAGGTCTGAGAGGTCAGAAGGATGCGAGCTGGCCCGGCTGGCTGCGCAGGGTTCTCCGTGAGCCCTCAGCTCGCCCGGGCGACCTGTACCGGGCGACCAGGGCGAGGTGGTGGGCCCCGAGCCTGGCGCAGCGGCTGCGGCCGAGCCATCGCCGCCTGCGCTCTCCCAGGCTCCTTCCCGGACATGCCGCTCACCGCTGCCTCCCCGTCTGAGCCAGGCCAACGCAGCCCCTGCTTCTAAAGCCTTCCCTCCTCCACCTGGCTTTCTTTGAACTTTAGACATTAGGGAGACGGGAGGATAGAAAACATAAAGGAAAGGAAAACTCGATTTAAAAAAACCATAAAACAAAAACACAGAGAAAGAGGTAGGAAAACTCCAATCCGATTAAAAATAAATACTAGGGAAAAGGTGAAGAGCAAAAGGGGGGTGTCAGGGACTTAGGGATGTCCCTGTGTTCAGAGCCCTTATGTACAGAGTCCCCGGGACTTAGAACGCACTGGCCTCGGAGCACATTGCCCCGCACACACCGACTGCTCCATCTTGCCTGCGGCTCAGGCGGGGATCCCGCTCCACGCAGGTTCTGTCCTCTGTCCGGCCCTTCCTTTCTTCTGCATTCTTTCCTGCTGGCATTAATCCCCCCTCTGCTGTTTCCCCTTCTCCCTTCCTTTCTCTTGCCCTGCATCTCCATTCCTTCTCTCGCTTTCTCCCTTGTGTCTCACTGGTCTCTGAGCCCGCTCTTTCCCAGCCCTCCACCCAGCAAACATCTGCACCTCCGCGTCTCTGCCAGCCCGCAGGTTCCAATCCCCAAGCCCCCGGCGTTGTGGTCTTCTGGCCCCCATTCTCCCGAGACCCTGGGAACATGCCCCTCTGCCCTGCCTGCTCCTTTCCCAAGTCCTGGGCCGAGGACCCTGACTAATGGCCGGTCCCTGCTGTATGTGGGGTGTTGTGTTTTTTCTTGTCTCTCCCCAGCAGGGCACGGGGGTGTGAACCAGCTTGGGGGGGTGTTTGTGAACGGCCGGCCCCTGCCCGACGTGGTGAGGCAGCGCATCGTGGAGCTAGCCCACCAAGGCGTGCGGCCCTGCGACATCTCCCGGCAGCTGCGGGTCAGCCACGGCTGTGTCAGCAAAATCCTGGGCAGGTGAGGGCCTCGGAGCTGCCCCAGGGAGGCACCCTGCCTCCTTCCCCTATCGGCCCTGGGTCTCCAGCCCGGGGACTTGGCTGAAAGTTGAGGATGCCAGCGGGAGAGGGACATGCCCCACTGGGGGGTATCTGGAGAGCTGCCCCTTTTGGAGAGGGCGCTCAGGTGGCAGCTGCAGCCCCAGGAGCAAGGGTGGAGCAGGGTCATCCAGCACCTGCCCAGCTCCAGGGTCCTGGAGGGGAGGCAACCTGATTCCTGTCTTCAAGAAGGGGGATGGGGATGCCTCTTCTAGGAGAGTTATACGGACTGGGGGACTGAGGCATAGGGGGGAGGGGAAACGGACCCCCAAGAGGAGAAAAACAAGCCTTGGGGAAGTGGAAGGAGGATCTTGGTTCCCACAGGGGCTCCGTCTAGGTGGGAAAGGGCTGGAGATAGTGCCTTAGCCCGGGTCTGCCTTGGGGGCCTGGAAGCTCTTCCTAGATGAAAGGTTGGACTTTCACTCCCGGGGGCACCTATTCGGGCTCCCTTCCTGGAGAGAGTGTCCCCTTGTCCACCCTCTCATCTTCCCTTGAGTCCCCCGCCCTAGCCAAGCGCCCTCTCAGCCATGCTGGGCCTTTCCCCCTGTGCCGCTGCTCTGGGCAGGAGAGTGGCTCAGCGTCTGTGGAACCTACAGCCCCCCCTGCCCCTGCCACTACTGATTCTCGCTGACCCGCCGGCCTTCCCGGCGCAGGTACTACGAGACTGGCAGCATCAAGCCTGGAGTGATAGGCGGTTCCAAGCCCAAAGTGGCAACGCCCAAAGTGGTGGATAAGATTGCTGAATACAAGCGACAGAACCCAACTATGTTCGCCTGGGAAATCCGCGACCGGCTGCTGGCCGAGGGCATCTGCGACAATGACACAGTGCCCAGCGTCTCTTCCATCAACAGGTGAGCAAGCCACCCTGGGCTGCAGAGCAGGACTCCAGCTCCCACCCCCTGCCCGCCAGGGCGCCCCAGCACTCCATCTTGGGATCTTGGTTCTTTCTTCAGCCTCTGCCCTTCCTCCCTACTGCCAGCCCCAAAGTATTTTGGGCTGAGAGAGGGGGTCTAGGAGGCAGAGAGATAGACAGACAGACTGAGCTGTCTCCAGCTTAGGGCCGAGTATTCCCTGCCAGGCTTCTCCCGCTGGCGTCCTGGAAATGAATCCAAGTGTTTGTGGTAATTAAGACTCCAAGATTACTCGCCTCGGTATCTAGAGACAATCACAGCCCACAGCCAAAGCCTTTAAAATGACCAGTGTCTATTCATCGCCTCCAAACAGACTTCCCTTTCTAAAGGCATACTCCCTTCCCCAGGGACAGCAGCCTGTCCTGGCTCCCCCATCCTCCCTGCCAACTCCCACAAAGCTTGCCTCCCCGGAGCCCAGGCCTTGCTAGCCAGCTTCGCACAAATTTCCGGCCTACAAGCAGGAGTGTCCAGGCCTTCGGAGCAGATGCCAACCACTAGCCTGCAATTGGCAGGGACTAGAGAAGGTGGACAAGGAGTGGGAGATCAGTAGGGGAGGGGGAACTCTGGATTCTGAGGCTGAACCTGAGGAGATGCCTCTAACCACCTGGAGTGCCTGTGTCCAGGCCTAAGAGTGCACCGTTGACAGGCTCAGGCACATGGGGACGGCACAGGCTCGAATCAGCTTGACGTGTAATAACAGAAGTTAGTTAGTCTCCCAATCTCCAAGCCACGCCAGCATGTGCATACTCAATCCATGTATGTGCACCCAGCCAGTGTGCAAATGTGTCTGTCTGTGGTGGGTGCAGCACATGTAAGCAGTAGTTGGACATAGGATGGCTTCAACATCACAGAACTGTACAACCTGGCACTAACAGAGACTCTGTACATGTTCCAGATGACCTTGGCCAGCCTTTCAACCCATGCCCCCCATGGTAAGACAAATCCCCAGATGAGATGAGGGTTAAGGGTTTCATACCCTTGTTATTCTTTGCCCTTTTCACAGGCTTATTTTCAGGGTAATAAAGGCACTAGCTAATAATTTAGAAGCTGGCATCACATATCAAGGTGGTTTTTAAAAATAATTTGTAAATGATATGGAATTATCCCAAATCATCCTGAAAACAGCAGGTAAAATTAGCTGGTAGAATGTACCTTGGCTAAAGAAGATTCCCTCTGCCACACTCATGCTGTAACGTACTGCAAGGCGACCCCAGAAATTATCCCAGTGTGTGCCATCTGTATTAAAATGGTTATTCAGTTATGAACAGGGTAACATAATACTGATCAGCTAATTATACACCCTCCGAAAACCCTCCAGTTCCCTGGGCCTGGCTCGGCTAGGTATTGAAAGCATAGCAGTTTGACATTCAGACACCTTCCGAAGAAGCTGGAGAAAGATGCTGGGTGGTTCCAGAGAGGAATGAGTCTTTTGCATTTAAAAGCCAGAGGAGAAGGCTGGGGCTGAGGCAGGAGTAGTGGCTAGGGAAAGAAAGGAGACAAAGCATTGTTTTCCCAGCCATCTGGAGATTTAGTCTCTTGCTGGTTGCTGGTGCTTGGAGTGAGCTGGAATTGGGGTCTTGGGAGGAGAGCAGCCCTGCTGAGGAGCAGTGGTGCTGGGTCTGGGTGCTCGTGTTCTGGAGAACATTAGAGAGAAATGCCGCCGTCAGTGATAGGATTTGCTTTTGAGGAATCCAAACGTATGGTTAAGGCAGCTTGCTTCCCTTGATGGGCGGAGGATTAGAGCAATCAAGGCAGGCATGGGGGCAGCACCCCTTATCTAGCATCCCTTGCCCCCTCACCCCAAAATATACTCCTCACTGACTAAGATGATTTTGGAAGCTGGCTTAGGTAAAAGTTTGGGAATGCTCTCATCCTGAAAAGCCATGGAAAACAGGGGACAGGTGACCCTAGGATCAAGCTCCAAAGAACTTAAGGTGCATCTGCCAGAATTGGGAGAAAGTAGAGAAGTGAGTCTTGGTTGAAATAAGAGTGTGAGAAAGAGCAGCCTCAGCTTGACAGCTCTGACAGCGGCAGAATCTGCTCAGTATGGAGCCCCTTCATCTGAGGGGCACGGAGGCTGCCTTTGGGTGTGGAGAAATAGCCGTCTGTGGGCAGGTGTTGCTGCAGATGGAGACAACGTGGGAGGAGAGGAACGGGGAAGCTCTGGGTCTACAGTTAGGCTTCCCGCTTGCTTTGTCAACAAGGAGCTGTGAGGGTATTCTCGATTTGGTTTTGGGACAGAATCCTATCATGATTAATATTTTGGAAAGAATTCTGGGAGCTTCCCAGTGTGCTACTGAGTCGGGGCTGGAGGGATGCATCTGGGCCCCATGCCTTTAGCTTCAGCCCTGTTGGTGCTTTGTTCTGAAGGGGAGAAAGCCATCTGAGGTGTGTTCTTTCACCCTAAAGCCTGAGGAAGGCAGGTGTTTCTGCTGGTCTGGTGATGTCAGGACCTTTGTGAATCCGCAGTCTCTGTGGAAAGAGCCTGGAGATTTCACCCTGTGCAGTAAGTGCAGTGTCTTGGGAACAGGTAGTGCTTGAGTTGAGAGCTTTACTATTGGTGAGATGCCAACGCGTGTTGGGTACTTTATAACCATTATGAGTAAGGGTGTGCATGTGCCCGTGGTTGGCAAGAAAGGAAGTCCACACATGCTCACCCACCTGAGCCAAATCATAAGGTTTTTCATATTCTTCTCCTCAAAACAGATGCTGTCGCCGCACTTGAAATATGCTGTTATGGTTATAAACTAAATTGCTTCTCATGCTTTCAAAATGGTTCTGACTTTCTCTGATCCTGTCGTGATAAAGGTTTGGACAGCCAACCCACGTTCTCCATTGGCAAGTCTTCATAGAAATACTTCTCTTAGCCAATGGAGAAGGTCAAGGAGGCCTCCCACCCCAGCCCCCACCCCCACCCCCAGCCCCAGAAACCACTGTCAAAATTCTGGAGGGTTGATGAATTGTTTAGTATGTGAATCATTTCTTAGCGCCTGAATCATTCTCAATATTGGGTGACTGATCACTGAGCATGGAGTTGCCAGTTCTTCGGCTTGAATACTGCCACTGTAGAGGGTGGGTGTTTATAAGCAGGTGACTTGAGATTTAAAACCTGGGGTGGGAAGTGCCTGGAGAGGGAAAGAGTTGGAGGGAGATCCATGCCGCTGAAAGGGGAAAAAGTCACCTAGTTACATCGCAATTGACTAGGAAGGAAGGATTTTCCTGATTGTGCGCCAAAGCCTTCTGGTTCGGCTGTTGCTCTGGGCAGAGAATAGGGCTCCTTTGAAAGAACAGGCACAAACTCCAGGTAGCAGGGTTACTGAAGATCCCCTGAGGGCAATCTCTTGGAATGAGCTGACAGGAAGCCATCACTCTCCTAACTTTTTCAGCCCTACACTCTTTGGGACCAGGGCACTCCTGTCCTTAGGTCTTTGGAATGGACTCTTCCAGGATCCATTATTTCACTGATCACCTGCTACCCACACTCTCTCTTAGCCTGTTTGGCCCTAAGTGAGTACATTCATTCTCATAGCAGGGGCAATACTGACTTCAAGAAGGCTATAGACCCAATGCTATGTCGTTCACAGGTCTTCATCAGAGCTCTGGCAGTGGGGTGACAGTGGTCTACCAGCTGTCCATTCAAAGACCTTTCTAAATAAGCTGGGAGCCACTCATCCTAGCCAAGGGACTGCTGAGGACATGTTCAGGGCTAGGGTTTGTGTCTCCTTCTCGGAAACTCAGGTTTCTAGAACATTGCATGTTTGACTCTTGGACCTGGTTTGGCACGAAGCCAGGCAAGAGGTGCAGCTTTTCCTGCCACATCTCCATACCCTTGCAGCTGTTTGGTGGTCAGGGTTGTTGGTCTCATGGCAAAGAGCCAAGGCAAGTTGATGGGCTAAGAAGACGACCTTCCCACAAAGGAATGAGAAAAATATGGACAGAGAACTTGCCTTCTTGGCCCCTGGCCTACCAGACTGGGTCACAAATAGCAAGCACACATGTCAGTTTCTGTCTGAGAAGCCTGGCTCGCCTGACCCTCCCCAGAGAGGGTCTCCAGTTGCTGAGATCACCCATCATTAGGGTATCACATGTTACAGTCATGACTGTTGGTCCTCTTATTCCTTAAAATGAACTGGCATTGTCCTTCTAAAAAGCCATTTTTGTTCTCTTAGTTATTTCAGACTTCTTGGCCGGCAGTCATATTGGTCTGTTTCCCTGGTGGCTGGCTCAGAGTGGTCGTTCAGGCCACAAAGTGACTTTCAGGTGAGAGCAATGGCTGGTTGCCCTGAGTTCTTACCTCAGCTGGCAACTCTTAGGAAGAGGCAGACAGGAAGGGTTGTGAAAGCTCCAAGTGGATTTTGGAGGGTGATGCAAAGAAGAAAAGAAAGGGAAACCCCTAAATAAATAAATAGTGTCCCAACTATTCTGAGAACTCAATAAAACAATCACATCAAAATGAAGAGGCATAAATCTTGTGTCTACACAGGTAACCCATTCAATTGCTTTTATTATCGCTCAGGCTGCTTCCATTTATAACCATCCACAGCCTGGGCCATGGAGGTTGCATAGAGGGTGGTCTCCAGTGCAATCCTACACTCTGAGAGGCAACAATCAGCCCATACAGGCGGGGATTTCGATGGGAGCTCGGGAAGGGCCCATCTGTCTGCATGAAAACCAATCAATAACTCTGTAACCAGAGCCCTGTCACAGGGAAATGGACAACACAACAGTTCAATACAGGGGCCACAGGGGGAATTAGCCAAGTGGAGATGGGGCCAGGCAGGAGCAGCCCCTGGAGAAAGGAAACAGGGTGCAGGCGTATTGGGGAGAGAGTGGGGTGTGGCAGGGGAGAGCATTGGCTTTGTGAGTAAATGGGTACAAGGGGAAGATTATTGTGCAAAGCAGATCAGGAAATGAAAGGCACTGTTGGAAGTTGGGGTGGA